ATAGCTTTACCTTTTCCATAGTCCTTAACCTAGAGAGATGCCCAACCTCAGTCATGTAGCCTGAGCCTAGTCTAGCTAGCATTAGTGTGAGATGTTCAGTCTGACTTGATCCTGCTCTGAACTGGACAGCCAGGGCATTCAGCCACCGTGAGCCTTGCCTAGGATAGCTAAGGCAAGAGAAAAGCCTATTTCCCCATGTTTCCAGCACATTACTCCTATCCCTCATCTACAGCAAGCAGGCCAAAATTTATCCAGCCCAAGAACAGTCTAATTATCATAGAATTTAGGTTCTGACGGGGGACTTGAAGTGGCTAGATTAATGACTGTGGAACAAGCATATTTATTCCTTAAGAATAACCTAGCCTGGTCATTGCTGCACATGACAACTAGCCTGAAAACAGCGTAGCTATCCAGGCTAATAAGCTGAGATCTAATGCATCCTAGCAATAAACAAAAGCAGTTCAAAACCTGCCTCCAGCTGCAAATAGTGTCATAAACCTGAAGACAGATGTCACAAAAGGCCAATCGCCGACCCACGTGATCATATCGACCAATCACAGTCGTTATGAACGTTGCGGAATTTGGGCCAATGACAACACAGTTCGCTTCAAACAGCAAAAGTGGTATGTAGTGGTAAGCGTGTTGTATGCCACTTATGTTGTTAGAATTAGTTTTGATTAGTTTGTCAGGTTCGTCAGGTTGGTCAGTTGGGAGAGGGCAGGGGGGAATTTGGTTATGTTAAATTCAATTACGGTTACAGGATTTTAATTAATTAGTAATATTCGCTAATATTTACGTATGTTGAGGTAGTGTGACGTTGCATGTGTGAAATGTTTGTAATGTAAAAGCTTTCTGTGTATGCTCTGATGATTTGATATAAATTTGTTCAGTAAGCAGGAGACGAGTGTACTTGACAAATATTGCTCATCGTACATCTTCGCGAATATATAAATTTGAATCATAAAAACTCTTATTAGAGGTGCAGCTGCAGTTCTGCTGTTGGGTTATGGTTGAATGTATCAGCTTCAGCTCTGAGGTGGTTGTAAACGTAAATGTAAGCCCGTCACTTTGACCGAAAGAATTAACAAATTCAGTTAGTATGCTGTGGAATGAGACAGATATGTCATGTGATGACAAAGTTATAGATACTGATTTTATGTGCAAAATAATGACTACTCTTAATATTCGTATTAAAAATTGAGAATTTGAAGTATGCCATTATGGGATCATATTGAAGAAAGAGGGAAGGACTTCTTAGAAATGTTATGCAGGTTTATGTGATTCGTTATTTGTTAGAAGAAGAGATTAATATTATTACGGGTACTAACGAAACAGCACTTCACAGTATAGATTAGTTTGTATTTGGCTCATGAAATTTGGCGTTGTAGGAGAGTTTAAAAGTAGATACAAATGTTGTGTTAAACACTTTTCTGTATTGGTAAGTATGAGCTTGGTCATAGTAAACTGTAAGTAATGAAGCTTCACTGTTTCAGTTACTTTCTTTGCAAATAGTTTTGTAGTATGAAAGTTTGTGGTGCCTCCCATCAATTCCCCATGCCTTGCATAGTTTTTTGAGTGATTTGTAGCCATATTTTGTTAATTGTCGAGTAGAATGTTAACACTGTGTTTGTAATGATGGAATTGATACATAACTCAAGCTCTGGGAAAGATCAACATTTTCATTTTATGAGCTTATTGTCTTTTATGTTTGTTATTGTGCTTGAATATTTGGTTACATTTTGTTTCCTGTTCTTCTAGAATCAATATTTGGTCCCCGCTTATAATCTAATCTAGATAATTGCATTTTATAAAAGCTGTACCAACATCAGAGTTTGTGAAACAGTGAAAATTACAAATGTGGCTATGAATATCATGGTGTTTTGCCTGTGCACGGGGGTGGGGGGCTGGGGGAAGTGCCAAGTATTATCATGCAGGAATGTTATGTAACCATAAATTTTTGTGTCTTTGTAAGCCACATAGAAGTTTTACATTTTGTTGAAATTAAAAGTGGATCAAGTTTGAAACCGTACATACAGATTCGCATGAAAATCAGAATCTGTTTTTAATGAAATTCATGTAATTGTTTCAGGCCAGCGACTCACCACCACAAGACCTCAAGTGACTCGTCTGCCATAAGAGGAAGGAGTTGTTGCTGTACGGTCATAACGAGCAAGTTACAGCATTTCTCTGACATCCATTTTGCCGTACTGTCATCCATGCATGGCTCTTTCAGATAGCCTTTTCTCTTGCAGCGCTTGCACCAGAATCTCTCCATGTCAAGACTGAAGTGAAAATCTGTGCATGTCAAGACTGAAATGAGAATCTGGTCATGTCAAGACTGAAGTGAAAATCTGGTCATGTCAAGACTGAAGTGAAAATCTGTGCATGTCAAGACTGAAGTGAAAATCTGTGCATGTCAGGACTGAAGTGAAAATCTGTGCAAGTCTGGACTGAAGTGAAAATCTGTGCAAGTCAGGACTGAAGTGAAAATCTATGCAAGTCAGGACTGAAGTGAAAATCTGTGCATGTCAAGACCGAAGTGAAAATCAGTGCATGTCAGACCAAAACATGACAGGAAGATAATATTACAGTATTACAGGAAGAAATGTCAGTTTGATGTGTGTGGCCATGTCAGACTGATACTTATTTGTCCAACAAACTGCCTCTCTTGCTTTACTGTGTTTGCACGTAGGAGGGTAACACATATGCATGATATCATCCGACTTTGTGTCTTGCTTTGATGCCGTCGATGTGCAACGTCGGTTACTATTCACTTGCTTTTCTTTGTTGACACTATATGTTTTGGCCCAACCAGCCATCTTCGGATGTACAGGTTGTTGTGATTGCAGAATCTGCTACTCACTGTAGTGCTGTTTTGTTTCTGTTATGTGGAGGCCTCAGATTGCATCTGGTTATGTGGGTTATTCATCTGTTTTTTTATTTAGGTGTCCTTGAGCTGCTGGTCTTTGCTTCATGGTTTTGTTTGGCTCTACGCTCTTGAATGTTCTTGCTGGGGCAGGAATTTGTTCTGTTGATGGCCAACCACAGCACAGCAAATATGCCCAGCTCAAGGACACATAAACAAAAAACAGATGGTTAACCCACATATCCAGATGCAATCCGAGGCCTCTACATAACAGAAACAGAACAGCATTACAGTGAGTAGCAGGTTCCTTGATCACAACAACCTGTATCCCAGAAGATGGTGAATTAGGCTGACACATGTAGTTACGACAAAGAGAAAGCTGTGAGAGAATGTTAACTGACGTTGCACGCAGACGGCATCAAAGCAAAACGCAAAGCCAGATTTAAGCAGTGCAACAGGATGCTGCAATGTAACAGTATGCCTGATATCAGTTTTTATGTAAAATTCATTCATGGTCTTCTGGCTTATGACATGGTTACCAGAGTTTTCTGCTGGTCTGTTGAAGCCAGGGGCAGTGTGTTCTCTGGTAACCATCTACCAGGCAACATGGTGTCATAACTTAGGAGACCAGAATAAGATTTTCACCATTGTGAAAGATTAAAATCTGATACTTTGTAAACTTGTTTGTATGTTCAAATCTGGTGGATACTGTAAGGAAGTAATCACTAAACCAAAGTAGTTCTGTTTTTCCTTATAAAGGAAAGAACTTGAGAGGTAAAGCTATCCCTATACCAGGCCATGGAGGCCCCTAAGGTTGTGAGACGTCGAGGCTCCCACATTTTCTCTAGGCAATCAGCTCTCAAATGGCGGGAAGGTTGTCAGCCTATGTGTCCCCCCCCCCAAGATTGCTGGTACTCATTTCTGTTAGAGGCCAATTGCAGACACTGCACAGTGTAGATAAAAGTAATTGCATATGGACAAACACAACATAAAGTCAAAGACTAATTAAATGTAAGCACTGGAGCAAAGACACATTAATGCAATTAATGTAATTAATAATTCAGTTCAATTCATGCTTATTTACATGTAAACTTAACAGCACAGAGGCCAATTACAAAGTTAGCATGAGTACCTAGAAATACACAAAAATAATTAAAGAAGAAAATATGACACTATACAAGGGCAATAAATTAATAATAATTACAAGAAAAACTATAAAGTTAGCATTAACAGGAGAAAAAAATTGAATATGTAAATTTCCAGTGGTTATGCCATCTTGTGTAATAATAATAATAATAATAATAATAATAACAATAATAATAATAATTCAGTTCATGTTTATTTGTGTGCAGACGTAACAACACAGAGGCCAATAAAAAGTTGGCACAAGTACATGGAAGTACAGAAATAACTAAAAAGCAAAATACAAAATAAGACAGTCTATATAATGGCAATAAATTATTAATAATTCCAAGAAAAATTAAATTAACATTAACAGGTAAGAAAAACTAAATAAGTACATTTTGAATGGTTATGCTATTATGTGGCGTGAAAGGGCAATACCCATACATACTCACATAGAAGTTAATAATAATAACAATAACCCAGTTAATTCTCACTTATCTGTGTGGCAGCTCAACATCCTAATAATAATAATAATTTGATTCATGTTTATTTATGTGCAAACTTAACAGCACAGAGGCGAGTTAAAAGGTTAGCAAGAGTACATAGAAATACACAAAAATAATTAAAAAACAAAATACAAAATTTGAGAGTCTATATAATGGCAATAACTTGATAATACTTCCAAGAAAATTTAAAGTTAACAGGAGAGAAAAATAAAACAAGACCAATATACGTACATACACAGGCCACATCATAGCTCAAATGGTTAGTCGCTGACTTCCCACTGTGGAGGCCGAGGTTCGAGCCAGGGTCTGGTCAAGTGGGATTTGTGGTGGGCAAAGTAGCGCTGGGGCAGGTTTTCTCCGAGTACTTTGGTTTCCCTGCCAATCTCCATTCTTCCAAATTCTCCATCATCATAATCACCCAGGGCAGGCTACAATAGGCCAATCAATGGCTGCCATACCGAGTGGACCCAGTTGGACTCCACCCCCCACTAAGTAAATTTAATTTAAATTTTACGTACATACACACACACACACACTTAATATTAGGAGTATTATCAAATATTATTAACAATTTTAGGCTCAATTTGATTGACAGAAACTATTCCGATGGCAGATATGTTGAAATCTTTACCCACCGTGTTGGGAGCATAGGAGCATCAAGCAGAAGGACAGTGTTTATTAGAGGGACAAACACCAAACCATGAGAAGTCTGTAAGATTGCTGGGAGGAACATAAAGGCTAACATTTTTTAAAAGAGAAATGCAGCATTTAAGACAAAAGACCTGAACAAAAAAAAAGTGCATCAAGGTGATGTCTCCGTTTATGTAAAGATTGTAGACTTAATTTCTCTAAAGCATCAGTATAAGTATATGAAATATGAGGGAAAAAACGATAAAAACAGATGGATGCAAACTTCCGCTGGATGTGCTCAAGCTTATTGGCATCAGTCAAGTTGATGGAGTTCCAAACTACTGAGGCATATTTCAACTTGGACCTGACTAGAGACACGGAAAATCTGTAGGTAATGGAGCAAATAAGGCCTAAAAGCTGTATGCATTCAGAAAGTATGTAATTAACATGTGTGAAAATGTAACTTTGAATCAAAGAAAACACCCAAGTCATTAATACAGCTGGTGTGTGTAATGATAGCATAACAAAGCTGATATTCGTAGCTCAGGAAATTTAGCATCTTCTGTGACAGAACTGTATCTATATTCCCATTGTTGTATGTTGCAGTTCTCGCAGGCAGCACGCATTTTCATGGAGTGTGATGTGGGAGTTCCATAATGAAACCTGCCTAAAGCATTATATCAGCTTCCACTTTGGTTGGTCTAAATCACTCTCATGTATGTCTTACAGAAGTGTTAGTAGTTACAAACGTTTGGTAAAGTTTTTGTATATAAGTAAAATGGACTCTCTGTGCTTGCACCTTACCTCTCTTTTGCTAGTTTATATCGAATAAAGTACATCCAATGATATCTCTTTCCCGAAACTCATCCTGTAAACTTTGGCTCTCATATCTGCATACAGTATCAGCATGTGACAATTTGGATTAATTGACAGTGGGCTTTTCTAAACACCTGGTAACTTGAAAAACTGTTGTCTTCTTAGATGTGAGGCCTTGTAGACTGGTAGAATGTTACCATCACTTTGGAGGAACATGTAAAGTGATAAGACCCTGAAGATGGAGGCCTCAAATTTGTCAGAAATGTTGGTAACATTCTACCAGACTACATGGTGTCACATCCCAGAAAACTGAAATCTTTGTGGTTACAGCCATATTCCTATGCAAGACCTTAGCCGAAGACTTGTTCGCTTAGAGAGTATACGTTGTAATTGCACATGTAGGGAATACACAGTCATGAGTAGATAACAGTTGGTTTTGATACGTAAGTTGCTGTCTGATTGCAGAGGTAATTGTAAGTATAAATTAGATATGAACTGCTGCAGCTTTAGGGGTGGGGAGGGGGGAATGTTAAGGCCTTTTTTTTTTAAGGCATTGGTACAGTTAGGAATTTCTTGGCAGCTAATTCCTCAATCATCTGACAAGCCACAGTGGACAGTTTAGGCATTGTATTGATGTAGAATTCTGTAATACAAGTTTATGGAAGTATGACTGCCATAACTTGGCTAAGGTAAAGACAGATGGGTTGCAGCATAGTGAAAGCAATATGAATCACTTCGTTGAATTGTAACATAATCCATAGAATGTTTGACAGTTTAGGACTTACACTGTTGCAAGATATTTTACATTAATTGTATCCAAAAATTATATACACTGAAGCGAATATAAACATTCTGATGTATGTGAGGCTGTTTGGATGCTTCTGGGTGGGATATTTGTAATTTATTTTAATAAATACTCTTCAGAGTCTGTTATGTCTTTGCTTCATGTTTTAGTAGAATCTGTTATGTGTACACTCTAAGGATGTCTACAGATAGATGACACATGTAAGGGGAAATTTTATGCACATTGTCAAGGGTTTCATTTGATAGATCCATACAGGTCAGTCGACTCCTCTGATGAAGAAGAGATTGATCCGCTACGAACCTTGCGTTGTCACAGGAAAATGCAGGTCAATATGGGCAGAACATTAATGTCCTGAACAGAGTTTGAGGTCACCTGAAACTGTATGTATCTATGACAATGCAGCCAACTAGTTCAGCCTTAATCCTTGCTGATACATATTTCTGCTTTATAGTGTGCTGTCAGGAAGGACTGGAATTGAATGAGCCCAAACTGAGTGCTGATGGCATTAATACAACCAGTAAAGAAATAAAAACAAGTAAAGTTGTCCCTGTGCTCAGTGCAGCACCGCACTCAGAATATGTATAGGGTATAAATAAAATGAAGTATGTGAGAACATAGGAAACATCTGCCATAAGAGTCACATTGTAAATGCAGTTAACAAATAATTTGAAAATAATTAAGAATTTTAATGTGTGAGATGAATAATATTAAAAAAATAATTGTGTTAGGAGTAAATTCTGGAAAATTCTTGTCCTTTTATAAAAACGCCTATCTTGAATATTTCAAAACAGCAAAACATTAAAATTCAGTAGCATGTTTAAAGAATACATGTTGGTTGTGTTTATAGAGGTAAGTAAAAATGCTTTCACTTCGACGCATAAAATGCTGCAGTCACGTTCCCCGTGGACATGAACATGGAACCTTCAGAAGGTAAGTCACTGCCTCGTCCCAGAGGCCGACACACCTACTGGTTGAATTTGCATATAAAATGACGTGCAGTGAATTTACAACTATCCTCGGAGCCTGATCAGAATAAATGTAGAATAAATCCTTACAAGACCAGTCATGTTGCACGAAATAATATGAACGATATGTATAGAGCTCAAGACTGGCTGTACCAAACTGTTTGACCGGTACTGAATACAGCAGTCATGAATGAAGTAATGAATCGTGAAGAGGAGGCGCCAAGTTAATATACATGAAATAATGCTTAATGCACAATTTGCAGGTACAGTAGGAAATGCAAACAAAACCCTGTACTTTTTGTTCCAGTAACCTTCTACAACCTTCAAGAACACAGCACTGCCGCAGCCCCAAGCTTTCAGCCTGGAATTTGATAGCTTGGCTGCAGATGTAGCTGTATTTCCGAAGATGGGGATGCAGTGGCCAATCAGCATCAACGGTCAGAGCCAAGTTAATATACATGAATCTAGTGCTAATTGCAAGAAATGTAAACAA